TAAAAAAAACTACAAAACAGAAAGACTGAAAACCCAGTAGAATAATGAGGAAAGATTTAAACAGACATTTCATATGAAATGGATGTCTAAATCACCAATTAGAATATAAAAATGTGCTCACTCTCATAATTCTACAGGAAAATGAAAATTAAAACCCCACTGAGGTAATCCTAGTAGAATGGCTAAAATTTATGAGATGTCAACACCAGCATCCGCAAGGATTTCAGAGCAACGAGAACCGTCACACACTGGTTGGTGGAAGTGTGAATTGGTACAACCATTTTGGAAAATAATTTCGCAGTACCTTGTAAACTGAATATACGCGTATTTTATAACCCAGGCACTTCACTCCCAGGTATATACACAACAGAAGCAATGCACACATGCACCAAGAGACATATATGAGAATGTTCATAGCAGTGTTACTTGTATTGGCTCCAAAAGGCATGTACTAGAGGCTCTCTGTTCCCTTTGAGGTCCTCCTGCTGGGCTGAGATGGATTAATCTCTATTTACCCCTCTCCACTTCTCATTCTGAGAAAAGCTTGTGTCAAACTTATTTTGGCACAGATGAGATGGTATATTCTCCTTGTCTTAGGGTGCAGGGGGTAGAGGCAGATGAGACATAATACATCTAAGATGATGTGCATTTGTAGATATAAAATTAAATGCTTCCTTAGACAGATCAAGATCTGGACCTAGAGAGAAAGGGTGGGAAAAATTATTTGAAAAAAGAAACGGGCGCTCTTCCTAGTAACTAGCATCTTAAACAAAATTCATTGCCATCAAGTCAGTTCCGACTCATAGTGACCCTATAGGACAGAGTAGAACTGCCCCACTGGGTTTCCAAGGAGTGCCTGGTGGATTTGAACTGCCAGCCTTTTGGTTAGCAGTCGTACCTCTTAACCACTACGCCACCAGGGTTTCCAACTAGGATCTTAGGAACTTTTATTTACCAGTAAATCAGAATGGAAACTTGACTTTTAAAAGATTACAAAAGCAATACATTCACATGGTAATTAAAAAAAAAAATCAGATAGTATAGAAAGGCATAAAATGAAAAAAAATGTCTCCTCTCTACCTGCAGTTCCTTTAATGTGACCACTGTTCCTTGTGTACTTTCCAGGAAAAAAAAAAAAACAGTTTATATACACATGTATATTCTGTTTTTTATATATATACCCGAAACCTCCACAAGAGCAGGGACTTCTCTTGTTTTGACAGGACCTAGAACAGTACCTGGCACATAAAAAATGCTCCATAACCATTTATTGAATAATGAATTAAAGAATTAAGTCAGTAATAGTAGAGATGGGAGGATACAGTTTTGAGAAATGGGTAATGGGGAGAGAGAAGAGGCAAAACTGGCATGTTTATAAATTAGTTAAATATGCCATACCAAACACCAAGCCCATTGCCATCAAGTCGATTCCAATTCATAGTGACCCTATAGGACAGAGTAGAACTGCCCATAGGATCCAAGGAGCGGCTGGTGGATTTGAACCGTTGACCTTTTTGTTAGCAGCCGAGCCCTTAACCACTGACCCACCCAGGCTCCAATATATACCCCAATAAAATAATACTATAAATATCAATCTACAACTCACTTTTTTTCTCTTTATATTAATCAAGGTGGTCTGAGTGGCACAAATGGTTAAGTGCTTGGTTACTAACCGAAAGATCAGTTGTTCAAATACACCCACAGACATTTCAGAAGAAAGGCCTAGGAATCTACTTCCAAAAGGTCACAGCCATTGAAAACCCTACGGAGCACAGTTGCATAGTTCTACTCTGACAGATGTGGTGTCACTATGAGTCAGCTGACTCTTCAGCAACTGATTTGTCTTCTTAGCATGTACAGATTTACCTCATTGTTCTTAATGGCTGTATTGAGCATCATGGTATGGATGTATCAGAATATTTTCAAACAGTCCCAGACCTACATTCTTTTGCATTACTTCTAGTGTTTAGGCAAGTATGAATGATGCTTCAGTGAAAGCCCTGGTATGACTACCTTCACATCCTTTGGTTAAGGTAATTTCCTAGCAGTAGCAATGTGGGTTATGTGCTGTTTTAACACCCTTGCATTGATTTTCTCATTTTGATCACAGGGCAGTAGTTAAAGAAGGGTACTTCCACTTTCCTTTTCTCACTTACTATGTATCTGCTCTTTTCAAAAGACAGTTTCTCGAAGCTGCTCCTTGGGCCTGGTGTGATCAAAATCAAACTTGTTATCCTGAGAATACCTCTCTTCTGGTCTCAATCCTGGGCCAGGTCTTCATGCTGCCGTGGGCGTCACTGCTGGTCCTGGGTGAGTTGACGGTTCAACACAGGCTCTGGGAGGCTGGCATGTGGGTAGGGTGGTCTCTCTCTTTCTCTTTCTCATGGGCCTGAGCCTTTCTTGGAGCTCAGTCACTGCTCAGAGATTCTCACTTGGAAAGACGGTGTTCTCATATTACACTGTACAGCCCAGGGCTTCCTCTTTTGAGGCTTAAGGATGTGGTCAGAGCCAGGGAAAGAACCTTAACTCTTACAGAAAAAGAAACCGTAGTTATCACAATGATTAAGATTACATGCTTTTTTTTTTTCCAACAAACACTTCATGAAGTCCAGAAAATGTGTTATATTTGTTTGTTTTGTCTTATTTAGTGAAGACCCATCTCTGCAAAGGAGAACACTTATTGGTTGTACGACAGGCCCAGATCCCGGTCCCGGGCATGGGAGGGCCAAGTTTCTAACATGAAGCACGCCTCCCCTCTCTGCACTCAAGTGCACACCACAGCAGTGATTGGCAACTTAAGAGCAGGGCAGGGGAGGGGGTGGACAAGGAAAAACATAAGGAATGTGACATCCTAACTGTGCCTGTGGGCGTGCAGAAGTGCCTATCAATTCATACATACAAACTTTGGTTGGTTTTTCACCAAAGATTGAAATATGATAATTAAATACGTTTACTCCTTTAATCAAGAAGTATTTATTGAGTACTGCCTATGCACAGCTCTGTACTAGGTGCTGAGAATGAGAGAGAGGTAGCATTTCTGTGCTCAGGAAGCTCCTAATATAGAAGGACCTCAGCAAGGTCAATGTACAAGAAGTAGCTATGTAACAAAATCCCAGTTAAATAGCTGTCTATGGCCCAAATGGTTTGAGCTCAGCTGCTAACTGACAGGTTGGCAGTTCTAACCCATCCAGTGGCTCTGCGGAAGAAAGGACTGGTGATCTGCCTTCGTAAACATGACAGCCAAAACAACTCTGTGGAATTCAGTTCTACTGTGTTACACATGGGGGTTGCCATGAGTCAAAATCCACTCAATAGCAAGGGTTTTTTTTTTTTTTTTTTTGGTTTAAGCAAGACTACCAATAGATGGATCAGGAGCTGGTAAAGGCTTCTTTAAACACAGAGGGAGAATACGAGGGGATAAGTAAAGATAAGGTTGGAGGGGGAAGGGATGGAGTAGGGAATGACGTAAGAGAAATGGACCCCACAGTTGGAAGGTGCAGGAACTATTCCAGAAAAAGGAAAAACATCCAACACAGAGGGACAGGATAGAGTAATGGCCAGGAGCATGGGCTTTGGGGGTCAAACAGGATACAGATTCAAAATTCCACTCTGTCACCTACTAGCTACTTAAGCCACAGTAGTCTACTCTGTAAAATGGGAATAATCATAGTACTTACCTCATAGGGTTATTGACAAGATTTCATGAAATAAAGTATGTGAATGCTTCACACATAGAAAATCCCCAGAAAAATATTACTGCATTTAACACAACACAAAGACCATGGTGACTTCAAGATATTTAGGTAATGGAGAATAATCCATTGTTCTCTACAAAACGCTTAGGTTTGAATAACTCCTCCATTGCTCTCGCACAGAGAGGAACAATGTCTCTTTCCCTCACTGCTGAATTTCCATTGCTTTGCCCAGTTCCTGGCATATGATTGGCATTCTAAAAATTTCTATTGAATAAATGAATTAAATATGCCCCTCCTATGGCATGTTTGGGAAACCCTGGTGGCAGAGTGGTCAAGAGCTACAGCTGCTAACCAAAAGATTGGCAGTTCGAATCCATCAGGTGCCCCTTGGAAACTCTATGGGGCAGTTCTACTCTGGCCTATAGGGTCGCTATGAGTTGGAATCAACTCGATGGCAATGGGTTATGGCATGTTTGGAGCCCTGGTGGTACAGCAGTTAAGAGCTCGGCTGCTAACCATAAGGTCGGCAGTTCAAATCCACCAGCCACTCCTTGGAAACCTTATAGGGCAGTTCTACTCTGTCCTATAGGGTCCCTATGAGTTGGAATCGACTCAGTGGCAATGGGTTTGGTGTTTGGTATGGTATGATTAATTTATAAGCCTGCCAATTTTGCCTCTTCTTTCTCTCCGTTACCCATTTCTCAAAACTGTATCCTCCTATCTCTACTATTACTGACTTAATTCTTTAATTCATTATTCAATAAACAGTTATAGAGCATCTTTTATGTGCCAAGTACTGTCCTAGGTCCTGTGAACACAAGAGAAGTCCCTGCTCTCATGGCTCTTCCATTCTAGAGAGGGGAAAAGGACAATAAACAAGTAAATAATTAAGAGAATATCAGATAAACACTCTGAAAGAAAGCAGATATCCCTATCTCTTGCCCTGCCTTCAGATCATTCTCTCTGCTTCAGGTCTCACCACTGCCAGAGTGGTCCATCTAAGTTATAAATCCTAACCTTGTCACTCTCCTACTTGAAACCTTTCCATGGCTCTCCATTGCTGTACACCTCTCTAATCTTTTCTCCTCCACCATTTCCCCCAATCTTAAACACCAATGTCATTTCCTCACTCCTGTCCCATTTCTGGAGTCCCTGGGTGGCACAAATGGTTGATCTCTCAACTACTAACCAAAAGGTTTGTGGTTGGAATTCACCCAAAGGTGCCTCAGAAGAAAGCCCTGGTGATCTTCTTCCAAAAGGTCATAGCCTTGAAAATGCTAGGTAGTGCGGTTCTACTCTGGGACAAAGAATTTGATGTGGACTCTTGTCTCTGGTTTCTGAAAATACCTCTTGGAATTTGCCAGCAATCAAGGGGCTTTTGTTTTATAAAATAACCAAACAACACTTGGAATGCATAAATTAGTAGGAACTACACAGGACCCACTCTAACAACAGGCCTCAGGAAAGGAGGGACATGGTGCACCCAATCACGCAAATTAATTGATTAGATTGGCCATAACTATGCATTAAGGCCCCAGTCATGCATGTTCATTGAGGTTCCAATGACTAAGGGACACTGGATCTTGGAGCTGTCTTTGGAGCTTCCCAGACTGGTGAGAACATCTATGCTTGGGAGAGGTTACAGCAAGTCTCTGGGGTCAATGGAAGCTTCATGCTGCTGGGACCTGTCCCAGACCTTACCTAAGGCATTTCTTCACTTATATCTTTCTGGTTATAATAAATGGGCAACTATAAGTATAGGTAGTAAAACCCAAAAAAAACCATTGCCATCGAGTTGAATCTGACTCATAGCAACACCGTAAAAGGAGTAGAGCAGCCCCATAGGGTTTCCGAGGCCATAATTATATCACTTCACTTCACGTTTCCTTCACCTGGCAACTTCCTAAAGCAGATTCCATTTTTCATTCATCTTAGAAGTCCAAGCACAATGCCTCAGATATACTAGACATTCAATGAATGCCTGCTCAATATTTAAACATGAATTTATTAATGAAAGAAATAATAAATGAATGGAAAAAATAGACGTGGCCATTGAAAAGTCAAAAATCCCTGTTTTGTGCCCATTTCTGGCTCTTTATTTTGTTTATTTGTTTGTTTATTTATTTATTTATCTATCTATTTATATTTTTGCAGCTCTCATCAGTGGAAAATTTGGTGAGTTCCCTTTTCTTTTGCTCTTCAGTGGCTCTGGCTAAGAATGTCTCCTAATAGATATGAAACATTCCTGAGGATCCTTAATATCTCCTGCTTTTCTTGCTGAGGCCAGCATGGATGTGAAAGTGTCACCTGGTCTATTGGCATTGACCAAGGGTCAGGATAGCTTCATGATCACCCTCAGGCCCTCCTTGGGTGACAGGGTGAATGCATAAGCAGCCCTTGGCCTTTGCTGGACCTTGCACTCGCTCCTATTGCAGCTGGACCTCACTTAACCCAGGCAGGAAATGTTCAAGTCCATGGCAAGTGAGCAGGACTAGGGATAGGATGCTCTCCAGTCTGTAAGCTGGGAACACCCCTCTCAAGCCATCACACGCCACAGGTACCAGTAGGGATAGTGCATCCTCCACAGTGTTGGGAGTAAAATCCTCCAGGAAACGTATGGAGAGAAGGACCCCTTCCCAGGCTCTGGCTATTTCTACTTCTCCAGGATTCATCACCCCATTTGCTCGCACCAAGTCTGGCTGGGATGTAGATGCAACAGACCATCCCTGAGATCACGTGACTGCAACACAGTGGAAAACTTTCTAGGCCAGCCAGTTGCCTCTCCCTACTCACTAGTCCAGCAACTCATAAAATCAAAGGAGTTTGGAGCTATAATGTACTTAGAGTTTGTCTTGTGTAAGGTCTCATTTCATAGATGAAAAAACAAACAGGTAAGTGACTTGCATGGTTCATGGTAGAGTCATGGCCTGAATATCCTATCTCCAAAGTCATGCACATTCCAGCAGATGAGTGATTGTCAAACTTGTGAAAAATTTATCTCAAATTTCTGAGAGTAATAGTACTAGCTAGAATTACTATGTGCCAAAGACTAAGCACATTATATTTGTTAACTCATTTGATCCTCTCAACAACCTTCTGGAAATGAGTACTGCTATTATCCTTCTTGACCTGGGTGGTGCAAATGGTTAAGTGCTTGACTCCTAGTTGAAATGTTGGTGGTTTCAGTGCAGTGAGTTACTAAATATGGCCCTTTCTGCCATAGTCTTTGGAACTCCCACCAAATGACTGGGTGAGAACTATGCAAATGAGGTGCTTGTGGCCCATCAGAGGATTGGCTAGCTTGCTAATAATGTAAATATGGCCATGGCACCAGTGTTTCATTGGCACCATTTGACCACAGAGACTAGGGATGAGAGAGAGAGAGAAAGGGCTGACTGGTCTGAAGTGCAGGAAGTTGTGTGGACTCCTGAGCCTATGGCTGGTGCCCACTGACCTAGCCCATGGGGGCTAGGGATGAGCTGATCAGAACCTGAATGAATGGAGAGAAAGATGTTTGACACCATGAGCTGGTGTAAATTGCTGCAATTTGATGGCTTGCTCTGGACTGGACTTTGCTTAAGGATGCAGATGCTCAAATTTTCAACTGGAACAGAAGATTCTTCAGAAAAAGGAACATGCTTATCTCCTCAGAATACTGGTTTGATAGGAATGGACAATTTAAAAATTGGCTATCTAAAACAGGGGGAGATAAAGGCATGAAGTGGCTGGCTTACACGCTTTCGTGAGAGTGCTGACATTCAAAATAAGGGGGAAAAGCGAGGATCCCCACTGAATAGATTCCTCTCTTTGAGATGGGTGTGGGGAAGAGAGGGTGGTGGAAGATGTTGATAGGATTAATTGATTCATCTGTGAATTTTGATTATTAACAGGGTTAATTGTGATTGTAAAAACTAACTGTAGAAGCTGTAATTGTGAAAGAGTGAACTAAGGGGGAGGCACTGCTGGACTGGAGTACAGTGGCTGGACCTAAAGTTCCTTAAAGGTTTTGCTATGCTGATACTTCGTGATATTCAGAGCAAGGGAATAATCTCTCAGTTAAATTTTATCAGAGACAAGAAAGGGTGAAGCCCAGACAAACTTTTGGAGAACCTGACCAGATCAGATGGACACCTGCAGCAGACCTGAGTGGCTGAGTAACCTCATCCTGAGGACTTTTTGCCCTACTGAAGAACTAATTGTTAATGACTGTTTGGATTGGTAAAATGATTGGGAGGGGGAAGTTAATCCTTCAGGTACGAAAAGGCCAGTGGCTAGAAGAGCCAGAGGGTTGCCTGCAGTGCAGTGAATTCCTTTATATGGCCCTTCAAGCCATAGTCTTTGTAACTTGCACCAAATGACTGGGTGAGAACTATACACACGAGGTGCTTGTGGCCCACCAGGGGGATTGGTTAGCTTGCTAATAATATAAACATGGTGCATGGCACCCTTGTGGGGGTGGGATCATATAAATAAGGTGTATGAAACCCAAATGAGGGGATTGGTCAGTTTTGCCATCTTCACTAAGCTTAAAAGGAGACATGGAAAGAGGGAGAGAGGAGCTGTAACATGGAAGACAGAGGGAGATAGCAGAGGCAGCAGAACCAGGAAACAGAGAGAGAGCTGTAACATTGGAGATGGTGAGAGTGCAAGAAGTGGCATCAGAGGAAGGAGAACCAGGAGACTGGCAGGAGATGGCGTAGTGGGCTTTCCAGCCCATGGAGCAAGAAAGCTGAGCGCCTTTCGGCAAGAAGCTTGTTAGTGGAGTAGGGTTCCTCTGGGCATTTGGTGGAGCTAGGTTTGCTGACCCGCAGAGCTAGAGCTGAGCGCCTTCGGACCGAGGATTACTGGTGGAGTGGGGTGCCCCTGGAGTCTTATTGACAGAGCTACAAGAGCTTTGTAACACTTGCCCAAGCAGGGCAGAGGCCAGGCTGAGGGGCCAAGGGCCAGAGAGAGGCCTGCCTGTAGGCACAGAGGCTGTCTTGACTGAAGAACTGTACCCTGAATATTCTGTACCTGAATTGTAACCCGTCACTTCCCTAACAAATCCCATAATTGTGAGTATTGCCTGTAAGTTCTGCGTGGCCATTGCAACAAATTATCCAACCCAGCGGAGAAGTGGAGAGTGCCATGGGAGGAATGGTTGGTATCAGAATTGGTAAAAAGGTTGGAGAGAGGAGATATTTCTGACCTCTGCTCATGAGAATCAGCCTTGGGTTATTGATGCTGATAATTATTCTCTCTCCCCCTCATGAAGTTAGAGGAGGTCAGATGCCACTTCCTTGTCATTTTTGGTGTTTCAAACCCATCCAGAGGTACCTAAGAAGACAGGTCTGGAGATCTGCTTCTGAAAGATCACAGCTAAGAAAACCTTATGGAGCACAATTCTACTCTGTACACATAGGGTCACCATAAGTCAGAATAGACTCTATGGCAGTTAACACTAACAGATGAGGAAACTGAGACCCAGAGAGTTGAGTGACGTGCTCAAGGTCACACAATTAGTACAAGGCAGGCTGAACTGAGCATGGGTGAGTCTGGTTGCAGAGTCAGCCACTCAAAAGCACCATAAACCACTACAGTTGACTACCATAGATGCCAAATTGAGGCATATTGCCTCAAAAATCTGAAATCCTAATTTCTGAAAATATTTTCAATATCTCTGCAGAAGAGAAAATAATGTTTCTTTACAGTGGTAAAATATTTTTACATTATGATCAAAATGAAAACAGAAAAGTAAAGGTATTCTCATGGGACCCATAGGCCCTGGCATGAGTCTCTGCAGCCCAGTCTAAGAAACTCTGCATTGCCCCGTTCTGCAATAAGAGAATTCCAATTAAACACCAGTTCACTGGTATTTTAAATCTATCCCTGGTTACAAAGCAATGCCCCCCACCACCTCAGTGATCATCAGCTTCAACCTTAGCATCATTTATGCCATGATATAAGTAAGAGGGTTTTCATTAGTTTTGTGTTGTTTCATCATTTCATTACTTAGCTCTTTTCCCTACAAGAGGTTTTGAAAGAAGACACTAAACGGAAAAAGGATCAGAGCGCTCAATGATTGAGTCCTTACAATGAAGAAATGCTCAAAAAGGGGAGATTGAGGGAGAAGACAAATTGTCTGTATCACACGTTTTCTAAGTTCTGACTCTTATTGCCATTCTTTTGGGTGAGAGAGTGTCTTGGATATATGAGGAGTCATGAATAACAAAAACACTCTACAACCCCCCTCCTTGTCCAAAATCAGCTGCCCCAGGGTATCATCTTTGCCTAGGTTACCTCTGGATTCTGGCAAATGACTTGTCCATTCCTTGTTCTGCCACAGCTAGCTGTGTGACTGTGCAAGCAATGTGATTATTCTGGGCATTTGACTCATCATCTCTAGAACGAAAGTGTTGGATAAATTAGTCTCTCAAGATGCTCTCAGTGCCAAAATCTTATGACAATAAGATTTATCCTTGTAGGAAAAGTGCAAAGTTGTCATTTTAACAACTCCTTGGAAAGGTCTCATGAGTTTCTGAGCATGATGAAGGAGCAGGACGGGAGTGACTTTCTTTAGGATTCAATTTCATAACAGGCAAACTAACAATTTTTCCCCCATTGACATTTGTCAGTTAACGAATTCTGCTGATGTGGCTCTCTTGAGATCTTTTTCTTCATTGCCACACCCTGAGCAATATTCTTCCTCAGGGGAGGTGAATGCTGCTGGCTGACATGCAGCCTTGAGCAAGCAGTGACCCTCTCCAGCGCCCTTCTTAGGGATTCTCCAAACCAGGCTCCTCCAGTCTATCCCACAGGAATCACTGTGATGGGACTGCAGCACTTCCACCTCACACTTTTCTCTTCTCTTCCCTTCCTCAGCAACTACTCCCAAGCCTGTGATTTCCCTCAATCCTCCATGGATCCCAGCCATTGAAGGAGAGACAGTGCTGCTGACTTGCAATGGATTTGACTTACACTCACCAAGGAGAATAACATGGTACCATGGGAACACTAACTGGACAACCACAGAAAACACCCTCAAGGTTCACACAGCTGGAGAGTACAGGTGCCAGATCCAGGACTCAGCCTCTAGTTACCCTGTGCACTTGCAATTTTCATCAGGTGAGTGAGAAAGGAGTGAAAAAAAATAAAACTTTAGAAACCATTTCAGTCAATCTTTCTCTCTAACTGGCACCATTCACTTCGGACAAACTGTGAGGAATAATTTTTGCTCCACACCATGGTTAGATCAGCAACGAGAGAGTGAAAAAGCTCTCCGTATACCACCAGATAGGAAATGTAATTTGCTTCTTAATTTTAAATATAAATTAAGATATTCTAAATTATTTGAATCACTCGTAGTTCATTCAATCCAATGGGCAATGATACCAAATAGCCATATCTGGAAGGACATATTTGTCACACATAATAGCTAAAGGATATCGGTAAACCTTACAAACACAATAATTTCTAGTGAACAGACTAATGTCTCTCAATCTGTGTTCTTAAACTTTGATTTGAGTCTGAAATTGTCTGGGCAGCTTGTACACATACAGATACCCAGGATCTACCCTATATTTACTGAATCAAAATCTACAGGAGAGAGGCTCAGGAATTTGTAATTTTTTTTTTTACAAGCTGCTCAGACAAAAGGAAATTTGAGAGGTAATTTATTTAAACCATTCTTGAATTGCTGTATGATTTTAAGCCTATAAAATCTTCTTGGAATGATAAGCAGCATGAGATTTTTTCATGTTTTTATTATATATTTTTATTTCTCTATCTCTATCTCTATATACGTATCTATTTTAAAAAATCCTGTTACCTTTGAGTGGATTCCAACTCATGGCGACCCCATGTGTTAGAGAGTAGAACTGCTCCACAGAGTTTTAACTGTAATCTTTATGGAAGTAGATTTCCTGGCCTTTCTTCATGATGTCATTATCTGGGTTTGAACTGCTAACCTTTTGGTTAGTAGTCGAGCGCAAACCATTTGTACCACCCAGGGATATATGTGTGTGTGTGTGTGTGTTGTTGTTGTTGTTGTTAGGTGCTGTCAAGTCAGTTCCAACTCATAGCAACCCTATGTACAACAGAATGAATGAAACACTGCCCAGTCCTGTGCCATCGTCACAATCGTTATTATGCTTGAGCTCATGGTTGCAGCTACTGTGTCAATCTATCTCACTGAGTCTCCCTCTTTTTTGCTAACCCTGTACTTTACTAACTAAGGGTTGATCCCTCCTGATAACAAGTCCAAAGTATGTGAGATGCAGTCTCACCAACCTTGATTCTAAGGAGCATTCTGTCTGTACTTCTTCCAAGACAGATTTGTTCATTCTTTTGGCAGTCCTTGGTATATTCAATATTCTTCGCCAACACCATAATTCAAAGACATCAATTCTTCTTCAGTCTTCATTATTAATCTTCCAGCTTTCACATGCATATGAGGCTATTGAAAACATCATGGCTTGGGTCAGGTGCACCTTAGTCTTGTAGGTGACATCCTTGCATTTTAACACTGTAAAGAGATTTTTTGCAGCAGATTTGCCGAATGTAATGTGTTGTTTGATTTCTTGACTGCTGCTCCAAGGGCATTCATTGTGGATCCAAGTAAAATGAAATCTTTTACAAACTTTAATCTTTTCTCCATTTATCATGACATTGCTTATTGGTGCAGTTGTGAGGATTTTTGTTTTCTTCATGGTGAAGTGTAGCCCATACTGAATGCTGTAGTATCTGATCTTTATCAGTAAGTGCTTCAAGTCTTCTTCACTTTCAGCAAACAAGGTTGTGTCATCTGCGTATTGCAGGTTGTTAATGAGTCTTCCTCCAGTCCTAATGCCATGTTCTTTCTTCTTCATATAGTCCAGATTCTTGGATTATTTGCTCAGAATACAGACTGAATAGGTACGGTGAAAGGATACAACCCTGATACACACCTTTCCTGACTTTAAACTAAGCAGTATCCCCTTGTTCTGTTGGAAAGACTGCATCTTGATCTATGTACAGGTTCCTCATGAGCACAATTAAGTGTTCTGGAACTCCCATTCTTCGCAATGTTATCCATAATTTGTTATGATCCACATAGT